GCTGGGTGACTTTGGGCCAATCACCAGGAGATTATGAGTTCTTTGGCATGAAAGCCAGCTGGCTGACTGCGAGCCAATCACACTCTCTCAGCCTAACCCACCTCACAAGGTTGTTGTGGGGAAAAGGAGGAAGGCGTAGTAGTCCAGTATGTCTTAGCCACCTTGAGTTACTTCTAAAGCAGGGGTCTTCAAACTTGGCCCTTTTATGACTTGTGGACTTCAACTCCCAGAATTCCTCAGCCAGCATGGGGGAGCTATGGCCCCTTCATGACTTGTGGACTTCAAGTCCCAGAATTCCTCAGCCAGGCACGCTGGCTGAGGAATTCTGGGACTTGAAGTCCACAAGTCATGAAGGGGCCAAGTTTGAAGACCTCTGTTCTAAAGTAATAAAATCAAATAAACAACACCACTAAAGTATTTAACGTCATCAGTCATTTCGAAGAGAATGTTTTGCTATTACCAGCGGGCCAAAATTAAATAAACTTTTCCCCGTTTCCCTAGTTGACGAAACGTTTGAACAAGAAAAGACCAACGTGGAATCCAAGAACGACGTCCAGAATCCGGCCTCGGAAGAAGGCCGAGAAGAGCCGGTCAACGACGACGCCCCGCTAAGCCAGGAAGAGCGGGAAAACAAGGATTACCTCAAATCTTTATTTGAGATTTTAATCCTCATGGGCAAACAAAACATCCCTCTGGATGGCCACAACGGTGACGAGCTCCCCGAGGACATTTTCACCCCGGACAATTTCCAAGCCCTCTTGGAATTCCGCATCAATTCCGGAGACGAAGTTCTGAGGAAACAGTTCGAGACCACCGCCGTGAACCTGGCCTATTGCTCGCAAACCCAACAGAAGCAAATGCTGGAGATTTGCGAGAATTGCGTGCGAGAGGAAATGCTGAGGGAGGTGAGGGACTCTCAGTTCTTCTCCATCGTCACCGACGAAGTGGTGGACTTGGCGGGCGAGGAGCACTTGCCGATCCTGGTGAGATTTGTGGACGACGCTCACAACTTGCGGGAGGAATTCATCGGCTTCCTCCCTTACGAAGCCGACCCGGAAATTTTAGCGGTGAAGTTCCACACCACCATTACCGAAAAGTGGGGCTTAAACATGGAATATTGTAGAGGTCAAGCCTATGTGGTCTCCAGTGGGTTTGCTTCTAAAATGAAGACGGTGGCCACGAGGATCTTGGAAAAGTACCCTCAGGCCATTTACACGTTGTCTTCCTCGTGTGCCTTGAACCTCTGGCTGGCCAAGTCGGTTCCCGTTCTTGGCGTTTCGGTGGCGCTGGGAACCATGGAGGAGGTGTGCTGCTTCTTCCTGCAGTCCCCTCAGATGTTGGCTGGCTTGGACAATATCATCTCCATCCTGTTTCACAACAGCGAGGAGAAAGGGAATTTGCTAAAGGAGATCGCCCGTTCTCCCTGGACGGGACGCCACGACAATTTTGAGATTGTGGTTGATCTCGTCCAGGCTCTGGTGCTCTGCTTGGACAGCGTCAACGAAGCCTCCATGCCGTGGAACAGCTCCCTGGTGGGACAAGCCAACATCCTCTCCATGGCCCTGGCGAATTTTGACTTCGTGGTCACGGTGGTGATCATCAAGAACATTCTCTCCTTCACCAGAGCTTTTGGGAAGAATCTCCAGGGCCAAACGTCCGACGTTTTCTTTGCGGCCAGCAGCTTGACGGCCGTCCTGCATTCCCTCAACGAGGTGATGGAGAACATTGAGGTGTATCACGAGTTCTGGTTTGAGGAAGCCACCAACTTGGCCGCCAAACTGGACCTTCCCATTAAGTTGCCCGGGAAGTTCTGCCGAACCCAACAGGGAAATATGGATTCTGAGATCACGCCGGAGAATTACTACAAAGAAGCCCTCAGCATCCCAACGGTGGAACACATCATCCAGGAGTTGAAGGATATCTTCTCCGAACAGCACTTGAAGGCCCTCAAGTGCTTGTCTCTAGTGCCTTCGGTCATGGGGCAGCTCAAATTCAATACCTCCGAGGAACATCACGCCGATATGTACAAGAACGACCTCACCAACCCGGATACGCTCTCAGCGGAGCTCCACTGCTGGAGAATCAAGTGGAAGCACCGCGGAAAGGACATTGAACTTCCCACCACCATCTACGAAACCCTCCACCTGCCGGACATCAAGTTTTTCCCCAACGTCTACTCGCTGCTGAAGGTCCTCTGCATCCTGCCCATCATGAAAGTGGAGACCGAGAAGTTTGAAATCGGCCGACGGCGCTTGAAGGCCTACCTCAAGAACACGGTCACCAAGCAGCGCTCCAACAACTTGGCCCTGTTGAACATAAACTTTGACATTAAGCACGACTTGGACTTAATGGTTGACACCTACATGAAGCTCTATCCCGAGAAAGCCGAATTTCAAGAGGAATTTCTTCCGGCCCGCAATTCCGAGCAGATCCAAGAGGCGTAACCGAACGAGGAAAGAGTGGACAACCGGCCTGGCTGAGATTCATCATTTGGCCTTCTTAAAAAAAAACACCAGGGTCTCGTTCAGCACCTCACTAGAACATCAGAGTAGACCCCCTTGGGTTGTAGGCCTGTCTTGAAAGGAGCTGCAGATCATTAACCCAGCTCTTCTTTTTGCCGCTAAGGTCTTCTCTGAGCATAAAGCACTCATGTTCTATCTTGGTTTATTGCCGAGAAAAGCCAGTTCACAAAGAAGAGAGCGTGTACCGATTGTTAATTTTTTCCCTCTGTCCCTAAATCCCAGGCCTGAGAAAGAAGGATATACATTTGGTCTAAGCCAGGGGTCTTCAGACTTGGCCCTTTTAGGACTCGTGGACTTCAACTCCCAGAATTCCTCAGCCAGCATGCCTGGCTGAGGAATTCTGGGAGTTGAAGTCCATGAGTCCTAAAAGGGCCAAGTTTGAAGACCCCTGACATAATGTGAGGGGGAAACAATGCTAACTCAGAAAGAGCTAAACTGGTATTTCTCAACCTCGGCCATTTTAAAAGGTGTGGAGCTCAATTCCCAGAATTCCTCAGGCAGCGTGCCTGGCTGAGGAATTCTGGGAGTCGAAGTCCACAAGTCCTAAAAGGGCCAAGTTTGAAGACCCCTGGTCTTAGCCACGCTGTGGAGCTGTATTTTGTTAAGGGGGGGGGGAAAGGTCTAATGTTCTTCTAAGGATCTAGACCAGAAGTGTCCAATCTTGGCCCCTCTTCGCGGACTTCAACTCCCAGAATTCCCCAGCCAGCCATGGCTGAGGAATTCTGGGAATTGAAGTCCACAAGTCTTAAAAGTGACTGCTGTACACCAAGGGTTTCAAACCTTTTAAACTGACCCAGTTAGGCTGAGCTACGTTATCATTTGTACAAGGCTTCTAAAGTTATTTCAGAAAAAGTGGTTTTGTGAATCCAGGACTATCTTTTCAGAATGGCAGCCCACTTTATTAACTGACGTTTGGTTATTCTTCTCGGTCCCTTATCCATCAGATTTGGGCCCCTACAGAAGACAGTGTAGGGTCCCCCCCCCTTTTCCACAAATGAATTATCTTATCAAAACAGGACTTTGCTAACAGCTAAAATCGCTGGCCAGCGAGGTTTATTGTTTATGTTCTGATGAATTACCAGTGACTTCCACGATAACTTGGCAAAGGAACTTGACTGCGAAGTTCGGGGATGTTGTTATTATTATTATTATTATTATTTTTTATTGTAGACGTCCTACACAAAACTTTTCTGCAAGTATTTTTTTGGTCAAAACTAAAAGAAAGGGGGGGGAAATGAATTTTTTTGATATAGTTTATTTCCATGCAAAAATAAAATGTGAATTTGCGATTTGGCCTGAGCAAGTTGCTTGTAGCAGTAAAGGAATCGCTGTCTTCCTAATTGGGCTGGGAAGCTAAACCAGGGTGTGGGCTTGTTTCACACCTGGATGGGAGACCATGGTTTATCTCGAAGTAAAATTTCCTAACCGGTGAAATCGCTTTCACTACAGATAATCCTCGAATTACGACAATCCTAAGTCGTGCGGGTCGATGGGCGGGTGACCAAAATGTAGTCACGCGACTGGGGGAGGCTCAACATTGGGACTTCAAATGGTAAATTATCTCTTTTTGGGTCCGTTTTAATTTTGAACGGTTGCTAAGCAAGCTGTCGTAAGTCGAGGACTCTCTGTATTGTTGCCCAGAAAACAACAAAGATGTCCTAAAATCACTTAGAAGTTGCATTCAACTCCAAGAGGAATTCGTTTGTTAATAATCATTAAACCTTTTTCTTCAATCTGGGTATCCTGCATTCTCAATCTTAACCTATTTCAAGAGGTGGGGACGTAAATTCCCAGAATTCCCCAGCCAGCCATGCTTCCAATATTCGAGGGGCTGTCACAGAGAGGGGATCAACCTATTCTCCAAAGCACTTGAGGGCAAGACAAGAAGTAACAGGTGGAAAAACAGAGGCAACCTAGAACTAAGGAGAAACTTCCTGACAGTGAGGACAATTAACCAGTGGAACTCCTTGCCTCCAGAAGTTGTGGGTGCTCCATCACTGGAGGCTTTTAAGAAGAGACTGGACAGCCATTTGTCTGGAACGGTACTATAGAATCTCCTGCTGGAGCAGGGGGTTGGACTAGATAACCTCCAAGGTCCCTCTCAACTCCATTATTCTGATTTTTATCAAATGAACCACTAGATGGTGCCAAAGTCCTATTTCTCAACTCACAAACAGGAATTTGTAAATCCTTATCTGATTCTTTTTTTGTCCCCTTTTTAATTAAAATACTATCTGCCTCCTCCCCCTCTGGGTTTCTGCTCACTACATTCCCCGTTATTTGGGGACATTGCATAATAAGGGGAGGGAATCCCAAACAAATGAAATTAAAATGGATCTACTTTCTCTGAGATTTCCACGGTGGTGTAAAACTTTCAAGGGAGTTTGAACTCAGCCTTCTGTTATCCCCAGGAATGAATCATGCCCAGAACCCTTCTCTCTTATATTAGTTGTCGCAGCTTCTTCCCCTTTGCTCTTGCGTTAGGATTGAATCATAGATTGGTGGAGTTGGAAGGGAAAGGTCATCTAGTCCAGGGGTAGGCAACCGTGGCTCTTTTATGACTCGTGGACTTCAACTCCCAGAATTCCTGAGCTAGCATGGGGGAAACTTTGACCCCTTCATGACTCGCGGACGTCAACTCCCAGAATTCCTGAGCCAGCATGGGGGAACTATGGCCCCTTCATGACTCGGGGACTTCAACTCCCAGAATTCCTGAGCCAACATGGGGGAACTATGGTCCCTTCATGACTCGTGGACTTCAACTCCCAGAATTCCTGAGCC